TGCCCTTTAGTCTCTCCCAGCTGGGTGAGTGTAACCAGACTCTGAACCAGGAGGTTGTTTTGGGACAGCTGGTGTTTTCCATGCAGGAATGGGATATCCAGTGCAGGTGATGCCTGGAATTCTACACTGCTGCTCAGCTGCAGAGGATATGGCCCTGGTGGATTTGTTTTCAGTGGCCTTAGAGCTGCTTGCARTGAGGAAATTGCGTCCACAAGGTGTTTTATAGTGCTGTGAAATGCAGAAAACAATGGACATGTGCAGAGACAAGGCTGACACAATGCAAATGTAACAGCAAAGCAGTGTGATTCCAAATAATGCACTGAAACAATTAAAAAACAGCTTGACTTTTTTTAATTTGGTTTTCTCATTTTGACAAAAAATCGTGATTATCCCAGTGTACAAGCCTTAAAATTCTTTCTGCTTGTGATCCAGCTGTAGTGCAATAAGCTCGCTTTGGTTTCCTTCTGGTGAATGCCATGTCATTTCCAAGCCAAGGCATTTGTTAAGTCTATTAAAATGTGTGGATTGCCGTGAACACTTTGCATTCTGAGGTGCATGCACACGCACAATGTGGGGCTGTCAGGGTGATGAGCTGCTTTAATTGGCTGTCTTTGTGCGCACGTTTTCGGGAGAAAACGCAATTTGTTTTACAAGGCAGTTTGATATTTAGCGCCAGGCAGGATGAAGATGTCTGTGTGCAGAATGTCCCATCAGAGTTTGCAGGGATTGTCCCAGGGTTTAGCAGATGTTCCTTTTTCCCTCTTTGTGTGTTCAAAGAGCACCAGAACTGAGAATTCGAGCAGTGGGTGAGGTGCAGAGGGATTCAGGGAGCAGCTCTAATGGGCGAACCTCAGAAACCTGCCCAGAAACAACATCTTTAGGGATTTTTTTTTTTGTTTCTTTCTAGAATTTTTTTTTTTGTTTTTTTTAGAGGGTTTTTTTTTTTGTTTCTTTATAGTTTTTTTTTTTTTTCTAGTTTCTTTTTTTTTTTTTCTAGGTTTTCTTCATTTCTTTCTAGGTTTTTTT